ACAATCACTGGCAGTAGAATGGGTCATATTGAAGAGCTCAGTGACTTTAAACATGGTGCTGTCATAGGATGCCACTAGTCAGTTCACAAAATTTCTGTCCTGCTAGATCTGCCCCGGTCAACTGTAACTGCTATTATTGTGAAATGGAAGCTTCTAGGAGAAAGACCAGCAACACTGACATAAGAACTGTGCATCAGGAGCTTCATGAAATGGGTTTCCGTGGCTGAGCAGCTGCACACAAGCCTAAGACATGGTCTCTGGATTGATGAATCAAGCTTTGTTAACTGGCAGCCTGATGGACGAATCGGGGTTTGGTGGATGCCAGGAGAACACTACCTACCGGAATGCACAGTGCCAACAGTAAAGTTTGGTGGAGGAGGGATAATGGGCTGGGGCTGTTTGTCAGAGTCTGGGCCTCTTAGTTCCAGTGAAGGATGATGTTAATGCTACAGCATACAGAGACATTGTAAACAATTATATGCTTCCAATTTTGTGGCGACAGTCTGGGGTAGACCTTTTCCTGTTCAAGCATGACTGAGCCCCTGTGCACAAAGTGAGCTCCATAAAGACATGGTTTGATGAGTTTGGTGTGAAGGAACTCCACTGGTCACAGAGCCCTGACCTCAACCCCACTGAACACCTTTGGGATGAACTGGAATGTTGACTGTGAGCCAATATCAGCGTCTGACTTCACCTATGCTCTTTGGACTGGGCACAAATTCCAACAGACAATAGAAAATCTTCTGGACAGCAATCATAGAAGTGTGGAGGCTATTATTTCCAGGCCAACTTCATATTAATGCCTATGGGTTTGGAGTGGGATGTCCAACTCCTATAGCTCATATAGATGACCAGGTGTCTACTTTTCTTTGTTAACCCCTTAAATGGCCAGGGCCCAATGTTTTACTACACACTTCTATAACCCAAGAATAGCTCAGCTAGTTTGCACTGTAGTCTGAATAACACACATAATACACACTGTATAATAAGCCTTAGTGTGTCATAAGCCTGGGATTTTAAGTGGTTAATTGAAAAGTGTCAGTGAAAATCAATCATAAGCAAGAAAACAAAGTATCCTGAAATGTTTGTGTATGAGTGAGTGAGTGAAAAATAGGCAGCATGAAAGAGTGAGAACATGTGTCTGGGGATTTCTTTCCTCCGTTTTCATTAAACTGGACAGTATGCTGTCCTCTCCTCCTGTTTGGACCCAGGGAGACCGCGGGAGATGGGTAAACGGAGATCTCACCAATAATTCATGGCCATGCAGACCCGTGTTATCTGCCCTGGCCGGGCTAAAGGTGCATTTCGCACCCCCCTCAGAGGGGTCACAATCCTGCCTCGTCCATTTGCTTTAATTGGCCCAGGCTGAGGCCAATATTCTATCACACTCCTGCAGGACCACACCACCTCATTATGGCAAAGCTGATGACAAGAATGAAGTTCTTGACTGACCTTTTCAACCCCTAGTGACTCTACTCAAGCATAGAAGAAGAGTTTGTACACATGAATTACGCAAAGTATAAAAAGAATGAACTATTTAAAGGGTCTATATTAATGAAATAGTTTCATGTAGTGTGTAAACCCTGTTAAAGCTTCAGAGCAATGCTGTTCACTCCTCATACAATGTCGAAACTAAGCTGTAAAATGTCCTGTTTTTAATATATTGTGTTTGTGATGTCACAAAAACCAACACATTAATATATATCCATCTACTCAGCACACAGCAGTTAAGCCCCACCAATTCACACTGGAATTACAAGTAATGTTTCAGCTTGGACTGCTTTGTAAATGAGGAGCAATACAGGGCCACCAATCAGAACAGAGCTCATTTACATATGTCAGTCTTAAAGGCACAGTAACAAAAACAGCGATGGGATAAACAGAGGCTTGAAAATGGTCATCTACAAATGAATTATGACCGGTTTGGTATATAAACTTACACAAACATTATATGTGGACTTAAATAAAATGCAAAAAAGTAGAATATGGGCCCTTTAAGATCAGTTTCAAGGCTTATTCCCACAGTCAGAGGAGCTGAATGGTTTAAGTGTCTTCGAATGACTATAGTTTAAGTTTCACTTAAGTTTCACTTCGATAAAGGCAATGTTTCGGTATAGAACTGTGAACACTTAAAGGACCATTTGAATGCATAAATAGTTCTTAGCATGGTTCAAAATTCTTCTTCTCTATGATGGAAAACCTATTGTACATGGTTCTGTAAAGCTTAAGGGTTCTGCTTAGTCTGAGAACCTTTTTTGTTAGTTGTGCACTAATGTAGCTATAAGAAACAGAACCTCAAGGCATTTACAGCCACGTTAAAGTTGTTGAAATGCTGTCTGTACGCCTAGGCCAGCATATTTATGTGGAATTTGAATGCTATGTTACTTTAAAACGGCCTCCATCCAGCACCTGTGAACTTGTCCTGTCTCATTTTTAGGAGCGCTAGAGAAAGGCCCGGTGCAGCCATCAGCTGGGCTAATCCAGGGCCTCCAAAGCGGTTTAAAGCGCTCTGGTTTCATCTAATCTTTTTCGCCCAGACCTGGCCGAGCCTGAAACCTCCTCCATGGGAGGAATGGACAAATAGAGGTCTCTCTCTCTCTCTTTCTGCAGCTATGAAAGGCCACTGTGTGTTCTGAGGATTAAGAGATTTTTTTCAGCCCCCTCCTCTTCTCTCTTTTTCATTTAGACCAAAAAGGATGAAGAAAGAAAGACTTGGGGGAAAAAAAAAAAACTTGTCTGGTTAGGATACCCAGTTTTCTACCTCGCAAAGGGGTTGTGCGGGTTCGTGTATCTTTTGTTGCTCTCAGAAAAGAAAGTATTTCAGACAGAAACCACAAGCCTGTGAATGTCAGGCAACATTGCATAGTAATAACAGCAACCATGGTTTTAATAGTGCAAACCAGAACCGTCCTTCAGAACTGTCTCATTCACGACTCAAGTCATATTCACTCCATTTAAATCAGTGCTTATTTCTGTACTTAAAGGGCCCATATCTTTCATTTGTCTTGTGCTTTATTTGTTCCTGAGGTCCATTTATAACATTTGTGTGGGTTTATGCACCAAAAACAGCCAAAAGTCATTTTTAATTGACCATTTTCTATTTATCCTTTAGAATTAAACTGGCTGTTTTTATTACTGTGCCTTTAAGACTGATGTGTAAATTAGCTCTGTTCTGATTGGCTGTCCTGTATTGTATTGTGCCTCATTGAAAACAACAGTTTAGAATTAAACATTTCTTATAACTTTAGTATGAGTGTGTTATGGGCTACGTTTCTTGCAGACTGAATATGCAGATATACACCGATCAGGCATAACATTATGACCACCTCCTTGTTTCTACGCTCATTGTCCATTTTATCAGCTCCACTTACTATATAGGTGCACTTTGTAGTTCTACAGTTACAGACTGTAGTCCATCTGTTTCTCTGCATACTTTGTTAGCCCCCTTTTACCCTGTTCTTCAGTGGTCAGGACCCCCATGGACCCTCACAGAGCAGGCACTATTTGGGTGGTGGATCATTCTCAGCACTGCAGTAACACTGACGTGGTGGTGGTGTGTTAGTGTGTGTTGCGCTGGTACGAGTGGATCAGACACAGCAGTGCTGCTGGAGTTTTTAAACACCTCAGTGTCACTGCTGGACTGAGAACAGCGTCCTGTGGGCAGCGTCCTGTGACCACTGATGAAGGACTAGAGGATGACCAACACAAACTGTGCAGCAGCAGATGAGCTATCGTCTCTGACTTTACATCTACACGGTGGACTGACAAGGTAGGAGTGTCTAATAGAGTGGACAGTGAGTGGACACAGTGTTCAAAAACTCCAGCAGCACTGCTGTGTCTGATCCACTCGTACCAGCACAACACACACTAACACACCACTTTTAAAGGTTTTTATGGTTTTTCCAGCAGGGTAGGCCACTGTTTATAATATATTTCCCCCCATTATAATGAAAAGTTGCACAATAAAGCATACGTTGGCATCCACATTATCTTATATGATATTATATCAATTCAATTTTAATTGCTGTCTCAATTTTCCTATATTAATGATTTTTTTCAGCACACAGTTAGCAACAGCTAAACATTTCTGCTTCAACCAGTACTAAAACACTAAAGACTCTTAAATTGTTGTCTTTTTAAAGTTTTTATTTCATTGTGAATTATTCAAACCCCATCAGTCTTTTCTGTCTGTCCATTTTTCTCTGTTCTCATTCTCGCATCTCTTTACGTGCATTTCATGATATATATGTGTAATAAGCATAAGTTATATGCTGTTATGCACTGTTTTGAAAAATAATGTTTAAAAAAACTATAAATAACATCAATAAAAAAGCAGCTGCTAAACATTTTTATATAAAGCAGTCAGCGTCGCCTAAGTGTACTAACATTTAAATGATAATATTTATAAAAATAAATTATTATATAATATACAAATATTTTATAATAATTAATAATGTTAATTATATTTATAATATTTATTAACATAAATTATAACATAACATTATATGAATATTTTATAATATTTAATAATATTTAATAATTGTAATTATATCTATAATATTTATAGCAACAAATTATAATATAATATTATAAAAACATTTTATATAACATTCAATAATTGTGATTATATCTATAATATTTATAAAAATAAATTATTATATAATATACAAATATTTTTTAATAATTCATCATTTTAATTGTATTTATAATATTTATTAAAATAAATTATAATATAACATTACATGAATATTTTATAATATTTAATAATTGTAAGTATATCTATATGCATAGCAATAAATTATAATATAATATTATAAAAATATTTTTACATAGTTTTTAATAATTGTGATTATATTTATAATATAAAAAAAGTCATAATATTTATTAATATTTTAATCACTTTAAAGCTCTTTCAAACATCTTCCTGACATGTGAATCTACAGGACAGACAGAGAGCAAAATAAATAAGAGAAATAAAACTCAGGCAGTGCTGAGGGCACCTTTTCCCCGGCGACGGGTCCTTCCAGTTCTGTGTTTATGTGCTGCGGTCGGACTCTGTGCAGGTAGCGCCAGTTTAACTCACTAAAAGACGCATTTTATTAAATATTACAGCACAAATTTACTTATCGTACCAGATATTAGCGTCGTTTTCTGTCTGGCTGTGTTGGTGTTCGATAGAGAGGATTAGCTGCGTGGCTGACGGGGAAAATGTAGCGAAGCTGGAGCTTCTTAATCGAATTGCCCCGGTCCACCTTAAAGGCTGCACCAGTAATAATAACGCCCGAAGTACCAGAGTGTAACTGCTGCTCCATTTAAGGTGGAACGGGGAAGTTAAGAACTTGGCGAAAAAGAAGCCGAGTTCAGTCTCGTGAACGGGAAGCATTTGAACAGATTTAGCGTTTATTATGATAAACATTTATCAGATAGTCCATCTGTTTCTCTGCATACTTTGTTAGCCCCCCTTTACCCCGTTCTTCAGTGGTCAGGACCCCCATGGACCCTCACAGAGCAGGTAGATGTAAAGTCAGAGACGATAGCTCATCTGCTGCTCAGTTTGTGTTGGTCATCCTCTAGGCCTTCATCAGTGGTCACAGGACGCTGCCCACAGGACGCTGTTGGCTGGATATTTTTGGTTGGTGGACTATTCTCAGTCCAGAAGCGACACTGAGGTGTTTAAAAACTCCAGCAGCACTGCTGTGTCTGATCCACTCAGACCAGCACAACACACACTAACACACCACCACCACTTCAGTGTTACTGCAGTGCTGCGAATGATCCACCACCCAAATAGTACCTGCTCTGTGAGGGTCCATGGGGGTCCTGACCACTGAAGAACATGGTAAAAGGGGGCTAACAAAGTATGCAGAGAAACAGATGAACTACAGTCTGTAACTGTAGAACTACAAAGTGCACCTATACAGTAAGTGGAGCTGATAAAATGGACAATGAGCGTAGAAACAAGGAGGCGGTCAGAATGTTACTCCTGATCGATGTATTTAATAGTGAGAGGGTTTAGTTTCTCTGTTGGTCATCATTAGAGGACTGTTTCTGTGTTTGTAGTGAAGGAGAACATTAGCTACATGTTAAATATGAGCTTCAGGCAGAATTGAGAGGCAGTTCTGTTTTTTATTTTTCAAAATTTCTGCATGATTAAATGATTAAGATGTAAACAAAGTCATTCAGAGTGGTTTGATGCAAAATGCAGACTCTGAATGGTTCACAGTGGAGATGGAGAGTTTAATGCCCCTTAAAGCTCCTTCACAGTAAGTTATTACACTAAACAGTAGGGGTGGGCGATATGGCAAAAATATTATATCATGATACACGATATGTGCCACGGTATTTCGTTTTGTCTGCGATTTAACAAGTTGGAACAGACAAAATAGAAGCTGTAGTGTCACATAAAATACTACAATAATAATAATAATAATAATAATAATAAAATAATAAACCCACAACCACAATGATTTGTATTCAATGTTTCACAAACTGCACAGCACTAAATACATCCAAACAGGTCTAATTATACTCACTTGATATCTGAGATATTGTTTCACGATAGTTTTGAGATAAGATATTGGTCTAAAATGTTGTTTAAAAGTGCATCAGTTCATGGTGGAGAGGTACATGCAGGATGTTGTGAGGCCAAATAGCTGCCGAAGAATTATTATTTATTTTTATTTTTATTTTTTTTTATTTAGTACTATTTTACCATCATCAAAAGCCCAAAGACGTGTAGTTTCACTGGTGGTTTTGAATAGTAAGTAAATTGGGTGTATTTGTGTTGTGGTCATCACAACCCTTGGTTCCCATCACCCCAGAAAATCTGTCAGTAAGTTTCTCCACATTAAAAACTCTGAATGACTGTTTACAGCTCAGCAATTGAATTATGCAGAAATTTTGAAAAATCAGTGGAATTCCCCTTTAAGCTGCATTTAGTCTTATAAGGACATTGATGGAAACTGCTGTGAGAAAGCAGGAAATACTGTTAAACTTCCTGTCTGCTGTTGAATAGTCAACCAGCACATCTCTCTCGTCTTTCTGTCATGGTTTGTAATGAGCTTCATGAGTGGAGTCGCCTCATGAACTCCTGACCTGTTTCTGAAAGTTGCCGTCCTGCCTTGCACTCATATTGAACTTCTTCCCCACCTCCCTCTCATGTCCAACATCTTGGGCGTATTCCACCAAATCCTGTAGGCTGCATTGGGCATTGATTCACCAGCTTGTATAAAAATATACTCCTACTTTACAGCTTTCGTAGCAGGCCAAGATGTTTAGATACCAGTACGTATTTGCCTATTGGCTCACGGACGCTGATAAGACCGACTACTTAAAGGAGTGGAAAGGAGATGAAAATTAAATTTACCCAGTTTTCCACTGACCCCAGTTGTAGTCGGTCAGTGAGATGTTTTTAGTACAAACTTTGGTTTAGAAACTGGAGCTATCAGGCTGTCGATGCTGCCAAACACTAGAACTCAATAGTCACCCAAAAGTCCCGAATCGTTTCTGTAAAAATGCATCACTAAAACTTGCTCAAACAACATCCAGCTCTTCATTAAGATT